ATTCGACATACTTTATCTTAATCAGGATATTAATAAGGAACTAGCAGTTTATGAAGCTTTTGGAATAATCCACCAATTTTTTAAAATTAAACACTATCTAAAGATTTGCATCGAAGCGTTTTTTTTTTATAGTGATTTTAATCACTGTCAGATATCATTATACTTGATCCAACTATGCCACGTCACCACTGTGCCGCGACCCCCCTGTGCTGGGTTTTTTATTATAATTTTCACTGAGGTAATATAATTTTAATTTGTAAAAAATTGTTTAAGAGTTTAAATTCTAGTATTTATTGTTGCAGTGTATGACTATTTGATGACATTCTAGAATTTACAATCTAAAATAATTGAAATGTATTTTCACAACATAAAATTCAACTATAGTTAAAATATCTACATTGTAGTAATAAAATTATTGACTACCATATAATTATAAAATATTTCATAATTTTGTTAAATTCAACGATTAAAAATAAAAAAAACATGGTAGCACAGTGGGGTCACGGCATAGTGGAGACATTAGTTGGGTTCAGTATAGATTTAATCTGACAGTGATTAAAATCACTATCATAAGAAACGCTTCGATGCAAATCTGTAGATAGTGTTTAATTTTAAAAAATTGATGGATAATTGCAAAAGCAACATCAACTTCTATTAAAATAAAATACAAAACCCATAATTATCATACAAAAATAGTATATTTTTCAATATGGTAGCCATTTGCGTATAGAAGATAGATCGTCGGGACAAATTTTTTTTTTTCATTTTGTAGTACATAAAATAAGCTTTAATTTTATATATGTTTAAAGGACGCAGTATTTCCGGAACATTTTCAAAAATTAAGTTGAAAAAGTTATTTTTTGTAAAAAAGTTACTATTTTAAATCCTCCCAGTGAGCAGAATAAGTGTTAGATTTTCAAAAAAAATTATATCAAATGAAAGGGAAATATCTAAGGTTTCAATACAAAAAAATATTACTTTTATTTGTTCATTTTTGAAAAAGTTATAGCAGTTTTAAGTACAAAAAACATCCCGATAAAAGGTCATTTTTATCGCAAACATTACATTTTTTTTTTAATTTTCGACAGATATTTGCACATAGAAGATAAGATGTCGGGACAAATTTTTTTTTTTTATTTGATAGTACATAAAATGAGCTTTAATTTGATATATGTTTAAAGGACGCAGTATTTCCGGAACATTTTCAAAA